TCAGATCATTTCACAAACCCCATTAAAGAAAAGATGGATCAAGAACATACCTGTATCTTGTAACAAAGTAGTGAAGAAAGCTCGAGACTTCAGAGATTCCTAGTTCCTTGCCAGGGCAAAGCCTTGCTCCACCTCCAAAGAGTAAGAAATAGCTCTTTGATTCCAAGCTCTTCTCCTGCATATTCAGATAAAGCTTCTTTATGAGCCAGAAGGTTTCGCACAACAAAACACAAGAGCACAAACCAAAAAACAAGAATGCAAATACTAACCATCCATCTCCATGGGTTAAAGATCATTGGATCTTCATACAAAGATGTATCATAGTTAATTTCTCTTGTGTATACGTAAATTCTCCAGCCTTTTGGTATTAAATACCCTGTAATTAATCAAAATCACAACCACTATTAATACAGATAAAAAAAAAAATTCTTTAATATTGTAAAATCGAAATCAAAAAGGGTTTTGATCTTCTCATCTCTCAAAATAATTGAAACAAAACCATTGAGGGTCACGGGGGAGATAATTGATTCGCTGGATTGGTTGGTATATATTTAAAATAATTGATGTAATAGGTCCACATGCCCAATTTATTTATTTTTCTCTTTTATTATATACACACACACCCAAAAAAAAAAATTTATAATAACTAAACTCCTTAAAATCAGAAATAAAGATTATACTACTAGTTTCTTACCGTTGAGTTCCAAGTCGTGAGTAGTTTTCCTCAAAACACCATTAACAATCGTTGCCAACCTTGATGTCTCGAAGATGACCTATTAATAAACAAATTGGTCCAAAAGCATATTAACTTATTAAGTAACAATGTCAAAATCAAGAACAATAAATATTTACTTGTGTACGAAAAGACACTTACGGCTCGAGTGAATTTCATCGATTTAATATCGTCAAGATTGAGTGGTTCGTCAGGTCGTTTTCTCTCTCTTATAGCCAAATGTTCTCTCTGCAATCAAAACCCAAAAGTCAATAACCGAACCGGACAAATAAAAAACCGGTTTAGAGTGTTTCTTAAGAAAGAACATACTCTGAGTTCTTCAAGAGCTTTAGGGTGATCATGGAGATACTTAAGAGCCATCATAGAGGTTGTAGAGACAGTCTCGTAACCCGAATACAATATCGTCACGACTTGATCCCTTATCTCCTTATCGGTTAATAAGTATCGGTTATCTTCCTTCTTCATCAAGTAACCCAACATGTCTGTGAAAGTTTTGCCCGACTCTCTTCGTTCTTGCATCAGCTCTGTCAACAACCTATCGATGTTGTTTCTTGCCTGAAAAATAACCAAAACAAATGTCAGAATCTTTTCATTGTCTTCATTTTTTTTATTTTTTCATGATGTCTAGATTCGAGTATTTTACTTGGATTCCGCAGCGGTAGTTTGTTCCCGGGAGATCGATTGGGACCGAAAGTGTTCCAACAACAAGCTTGAAGAACTCTGTTCTATATTCTTCGACCTCTGATTTTGTCAATGTCTCAGCAATTTGTAACAACGATGATAAAAATGCCATCTGCACAACAACCC